GCATGGTAGGTAATCATAAAGGTATATGATATGTGGGTAAGTTCCGTCATTATGGAAAATATTCATGTGGACAAGTTCCGTCTTTATGGAAAATATTCATGCATTAACATCGTAAGATATGTACACATATACAAGACAATTTCTTTTTGAGAATTCTCTAAATTGTGAGATCTTTAAGAACCAGGCATCATATGCTATTTTGTATGGTTTTTATAATCTATGGCTATAATTTAATGTAATGATTAACAAATATATGTTTCACAATGTGAACATTTTTGGCATGTTGGTGAAACAAAAAATACATGTAATTTTTTTTCACATTGTGAACCACATACATATAGAACAAACAAATTGTGAAACAATTAAATGTTAAATCAACACATTAAGTACTCTACTTAAATGGAAAAAAAATAATGTGAAACAAAACCCTAAGATAGAAATTCTCACGGGTCTCACAATGGGGTTCTCAAATGATTAAGTTTCTACATATACTTACACATGTATCTATAGGGGAAGAATCGTGTGAGAAGGAAAGTTATAGTGAAAAAAGTAAGAAGAAATATGAACTCTTGATCACTTTTAATCTCATGTCCATCCATAAGTTACAATTTAGAAGGGACTTGATCTGATGTATTTCGGTACATCTTATTAGTGTTGACATTTAATTAAGATTCATCTAATGGTATAGATCTCTTCTACGCTTCTTACCATAACTTTCCTTTTCACTGGAACTCAACCATGTGTATGTGTGTGTGTGTATATATATATATATATATATATATTTCTTACCATAACTTTTCTTCTCACTGGAATACAACTCTGTGTGTGTGTTGTGTATATGGGGTCTTCTTTTGATAACCTATAAAATTGTGATAACCTTCAGAACTAGTGTATCTTGTGCTATTTCATATGATTTTTTTCATTTAAAACTAGAATTTAGAATATTGATTAACATATATTTGTTTCACAATATGGACATTTTTAGCATATTTATGAAACAAAAGTTACACGTTAAACTAAAAAGTTTTATATTGTGAACCGAATACATATGAAACAAACACATTGTCAAACAAATATATGTTTATCAATATATTAAATGCTAGTTTTATATGGAAAAAATCATGTGAAATAATACCTTAAGGTAAAAGTCCCCATGATTATAATAATATGTGAAGTTCTCAAATGATCAAGTATATATATATATGGGAAAGTCCAAAAAAACCCAACAAACCTTCTCATTTTGTATGGTTTAGTCCTAAACTTTTTTTTTTTTAATGAAAAATTCATTAAACTTTCTCATTTTGAATTATTAAGTTATCTGATTTATTTATTTTTGAATGAAAAACTCATTAAATTTTCACATTTTGAATGATTAAGACTCTGATTTAAAAAAACTATCGAACTTTTAGAAGTCGATTAATGTAATTGTTTTGGGGTTAAATTTATGTAGGTAACCAATTTCTAAAAGTACGATATTATTTATTAGAAAATGTTCATAGACTTGATCAATCAAAAAAAGAAAATTTATTGATTTTTTAATTCAAAAAGAGAAAGTTAAATGGTTTTTTCATTGAAAAAAATAAAAGCAAAGACTTAATTATTTAAAATGAGAAAGTTTAATGATTTTTCATTAAAAAAACAGTTCATGAATTAAACCATTCAAAATGGAAAAGTTTATTAGGTTTTTCTTGAACTTTTCATATATACAAGTCTCTCTCTCTCTCTCTCTCTCTCTCTATATATATATATATATATATATATAGTTGAGTTCACATGAGACCGATTTATTTTCGTGAGACCTATGTAGAACTACATTTTTACACTTGAAATTCACAGTAAAACATTGTGAAGATAAAAAAATGAATGTTCACAACAAAAATAATATGAAAGTTGCTTTCACAGTATTTTATTATAAAATTTCAAGTATAAAAAAGTGGTTTCACGAGTTTCACAAAAACAATATGGTATCATATGATCCGAAACCTATATGTGTGTGTATGTATGTATGTGTATATATATATTACGTATATGTGCATGCACGTAGACGTACACATACACGTATTTTCATATGAATAAAAATATAAAAAATAGATAAAACATAAAAAAAGAGGTGGGCTCTCATTCTTGCTTATGTTGTCCCTATGTAACATCCTTTGATTAGTTAATTGTAGAAAGTTAGAAGTTTAGGGGCTTATGTGTTAATGTGCTATTTTTAGAAGGTTTAGTTGAAATCTTTGGACCATATAACCATGAGTCACCTCCTTTTGGCTTAGTCATTTCCGGAACCTACCTGTGTGACCTGTGACCTGTGACCTGAGTTTGCGTTTGAGCCTACTTGCAACTAAAATATTAAATTACAATCATACACTAAAACACATTAAAAACTTCTTTTAATTTAATAAATAAATATATTTACACTAAAAATATGGTAGTAAAACACATTTTCATCTTTTACAAACATAATTTGGTATATGTATATTTTTGTGCATCAATAATTTAAAATTACTTATTTATTAGATGTATATCAAATAAAGTGATGAACAACACTCTTAAATTATCAAAAATCGAAGACAAATAATTATTTAAAAGAATTTTGACCATCGGTCAACCCAACCAAACTCGCAAGGGTTGGATTAGGTTCGCTTGGGTTACACTTTATAACAATTGGGTTGGTTTGGGATCTTTTTCAAGCCATTGTAACTATGTTGGGTTGTATAAATGTTTTAAAACATCCAACTCAACCCGTGTACACTCCTAATAAGATATTTCTAATAAATTCTTTAAAATAGAAAAATTGGAGATTTTGTTAATATTTGTACTTCAACAAATTATTTAAATAATATTTTAAAATAGAGAGAATTATATAAAATAAAAAATAAGAACACGTGTAATTCACATATGTGAATTTGTGTGATTCACGTATAAACTATATGTTCGTATGTGAACATGCATAATTCACATATAAACTATTTTAATTAATTCATATATGAACTAATTAACGGATTTATATACGAATCAGATCGGTTAACATATGAACTCGTTTGCTGTCTATTTATAAAAGTTATGAAACTATTCATTTATATTCTGCAAATACATGAAAGGAATCATCCGGTACTTCACAATCAAAGTTTTCAATGTTGAACATGCGAACAACTAAAAACTTCAAGTCATTTCTTTACTTCTTAAATATTTACCACTTTTTAAATAAATCTTTACCTAAGCTATATATATATATATATATATATATATATATATGATAAACATAATGCTTAAAACGAAAAGGATACGATTTGAATATAAACACAAGGAAAAACCATATTTATGAAACAGTATTAATTACTACGTTAATCTTATAAAATGCTTAAATATCATGAATGTGCTTTAAACGACTTTATTTACTATTATTTTAATACACCTATGACTTGGAAATTTAATTAAAAAAACATTATTTCTATCTCTATTAAAGTAAATTATCATTTTCTAGATGCATCTTGGATTTAAAATATATTTTTATATATTATTATAATTTGCTTACATAATATTATTCGTCTCGCTTTTATAGAATATAAGTTTTTTTTTAAATTCTAAAAGGCCTCTTTAATATTTAATACTCAGAGACTTGACTTTTGTATTATTTCCACCATCCTAATATTATTGTCATATTTTATTTTAATTTGTCTTAATATAAGCTTTTATTTTTTTTTAAAATTTCTCAATTTACCTTTAATTATTAAAAAAAAATACAAATACTATTATTTTAATGAAAATAATACCATTTACAAATAATTGAAATGTTTGAATGAAATGTTATGATCTTGTGAGATAAACAATTAAAATTATTAATATATTAAGTAAAAATAAGAAATTAATTAAATAATAATATAAAACAATAGTTATTACTACAAATTATATATTTGGCTGAATTCGATAAACTCGTGCCCTAAAGCTACTCTTTTTAACTCGCAAGTGGAAGAAATTCATCCCACTTTTTCTCATAGGCTCACTCGCCTTTCTCCGACTAGAAGATAGCTTCCATCCGTCACTGCTACATGTTATATATACATACAATCATTTGTATGTACATCCCCCCTCTCGCTCTCTCTCTCACTCACTCATTGCAGAGCTAACTGTTCCCTCCTCCCCCCTCTTCCATCTCTGAAACATCCTTTCCTTTCTTACCTACGATCTTTAAACCCCATCTGATCTGTTCCTGAACATATGACAGATTCTTGATTTTCTTTAGCTCTCATCGGAACCCAAAAAGGTAACATCAAGAAAAGCAACAAAGATAACGGCTTGCAATAACAGCAACAATAAAACCCTATGGAAAACGTATTTATGACTCACATAAGTTCGCGTTTGACTTTCTTTGGTTTGCTCTACTTTTCTTGTATGTATATAGATAGGTACAGATACGCAATCTAATCAGATCCCAGCCTGTAGATTTGTGGGGTTTTCACAATCTTAATTGAACTTAGGATTTCGGGGTTTTATGGCGATGATGGAGATCTGGGTTTCTCGTTAAGTTTTATGCTTTTATACATTTTTCTTGAAAAATAGTTCCTTTTATGTTATTTTATTCTATCTAGACTTTTATTGATGCACTAATAGCCATATCAGAATGTTTAAGGATTTTAAGAGTGGGTTTTATAAAAGTTTAGGTGCATGTTTATCATATTCAATTTCATCTTTGATTATCTGTTTTTGCTCGTATGGAAATTTGTGATTGGTGGGATGAAGGGTTTATTTATGGCCTTGGGATCGCTTGATATGTTGTATAATGTGACCTCAAACAAAGATTTATTGCAATGAAGTTCGGCAACTTAGAAAGCATCTTGATCCAAATGCCTGATTGCCAAGAAATCTTGTTTTTTTTGGTGTTTCTGTTTCTATTTCCGTTTAGCCGATCGTTTCTAATTATATGTTTATTGCAAGCAACTCTTTTGAGATTCCTGTATTCCATATGGTACATCTTTGACTTCGTATGAATCTTCCAGTTTTCAAAAGCAAACGAATTTTAATTTGTTGGTGCTCTGCTTAAGCATCTTTGTTAAGTTTTTCAAGAATTGTTTGATGATTCTTGTTTGTGTTTTTGTGGATCAGGGTTTTAGTGTGGCGATTGAAGACGAAGTTTCCCTAGTAATGCTTTTGTAAGAGAGGTCACTTTGGATTACAAATGTTAGCTTCGATCTCCAAAACGAGCCTAACTTGATCAATTAGGCATATCACCGTATGCTCGTGTGAAGGCCAAATGCATATAATTCTAGATTGTCAAGAAGCTGATTTGATTGTGACAACTAGTGTCAACAATTTCATGTGATTGAAGCTGCTCCACTTTTGCGATGAATCTTCCACCCTTCAGTTTACTTGTTTCTAATTAGGTGGTGTTGGATATATGCATCTCTCGACTCCATGGAGCCATCAGCAAATCTTGATCTGTTTTTCTAGTGGCAATGCTTTTTGACAGCTTAGTCTTGATGAGAGTTTCTATTGGGTTAGAAACCTTTGATTGATCATCAAGCCACTGGAAATTTCTAGTTTTTTTGTTACTAAAGTTTCTGGAATGGAGACTGAGGCTGTAATCTCTAAACCTCAATCAAGCATCATACACAGACTGTTTCCTGCTGTTTTACCTGTACTTTTCGTTGCAATTACGTATGTTGATCCAGGAAAGTGGGTGGCGGCAGTCGAAGGTGGCGCTCGATTTGGCTATGACCTCATCTTCCTGATGTTTGTTTATAGTTTGGCTGCTGTTCTCTGTCAATACCTCTCGGCTTGTATTGCTGTGGTCACTAGAAGAGATCTTGCCCAGGTATTTGCAAATTTTTTATGGCAACTAATCTTTGGATCATGGGATTTATCTATTTACATGATATTATTTTTTGGATCGTGGAGTTAATGAAGTCGTCTTCGTTCTTTCTAATTCTGTAGATATGCAGTTCCGAGTATGACACAGTCACGTGTATCTTCTTAGGGATTCAAGCTGAACTATCCATGATTGCTTTGGATCTTTCTATGGTACCTCCTTCCCCTTCAAATATATGCTCCTTTTTGTGGTTCTGTCATCATTCTTGCTTAAATATCGACTTACAAATGCACCTATTTTGATAGATTTTGGGCACTGCACATGGACTTAACCTGATTTTCGGCATGGGCTTGTTTACTTGTGTCTTCTTGACTTCTCTGGATGCTTTTCTATTCCCTCTTTTCTCCAGTTTCTTGGTAAGCTCAGTCCGTTTTCTTGATTCTTCATATGTGAATCAACTAACTCGGCATCATTTTACTTGTTATTCAGGAGACTGGCAAAGCAAAATTCATGTGTACTTGTTTGGCAACTGTTGCTTTACTTTCTTATCTCTTTGGAGTGCTGATGGGTCAACCAGATACATCACTCTCTGTGGGTAGCGGTGGTATGCTAACAAAATTCAGTGGGGAAAGCGTGTTCGTATTAATTAGTCTTCTTGGTGCAAGCATTATGCCTCATAATTTCTATCTTCATTCATCTATTGTGCAGGTATCTCCATTCTCCAATGTCTTTGAAAAAACCGTAAATGTTGCTGAAAACTTGATTAGAGTTCTGAATGCTTTAGATGCTCTTTCTATAACTAATGCTGAATGAAAAGAGCCGTGTTGACCATTACTTTCTGAGTTTTTGTTTGTTGTTATCATGGCAGCAAAATCAGGGACCAGAACAGGTTTCAAAGGGAGCCTTGTGTCTTGATCAGCTTTTCGCCATTTCCAGCATTTTCAGTGCCATTTTTCTTGTAAATTATGTTCTGATGAACTCAGCAGCAAATGTTTTCTACAGTACTGGCCTAGATTTGCTTACATTTCAAGATGCGCTGTCTTTAATGGATCAGGTTTGTTGCTATAAGCAATTTTACATTCCGAAATTGCCCTGTGAGTAATCAAGTTGTCATGCGAACTAACAATTTTATGCAGGTATTTAGGAGTCTGATGGCACCGGTTGCTTTGATACTGATTCTGTTGCTTTCGAATCATACCACAGCATTGACCTGGAAATTTGGTGGTCAACCCGTCCTTCGTAATTTCTTCACAATCGACATTTCTGGATGGTTTCATCACTCGGCAATCAGAATCATCGCCATTGTTCCTGCCCTCTTGTGTTCATGGCATTCTGGGGCCGAGGGGATATATCAACTGCTAATCTTTACTCAGATTGTGGTGGCCCTTATGCTTCCATCGTCTGTCATCCCCCTTTTCCGAATCGCAACATCAAGATCAGTAATGGGGGTGAACAAGATTTCTCGATTTCTCGAGTTCCTAGTCTTAATCACGTTTATTGGGATGCTCGGCCTAGCAATTATATTTGTGGTCGAAATGGTATTTGGGAACAGCGATTGGGCGAGTAATATCAGATGGAACATCGGCAATTGTGGATCCATTTCCAGTCCTTATACCATACTTCTTGTTACTGCATTCCTTTCGTTCTTTCTGATGCTTTGGCTTGTTGTGACCCCTTTGAAATCTGCAAGTTTTCGATCAGATACGGTGCTGGAATCATCATTGAACGAGAGAGCCGTATACGATAGAATCGAAGAGTCCCGACAAAAGCAAGAAACATGGCTCGAAGACCATTCGGATTCACCAATTTTCAGTAATGAGGTTGGTTTGCCAGAGGAACTAATGGAATCTGAGAAAGGGCTTCGTTTGACCACTATCGAAGAACATTCGTCTGATATCCTAATTTCGTCACCACCAGAGGAATCAGTAACTACGGTTTCAGGTGACGAAGCTATAATCGGCTTGAAGAATGAAGAATCTGAGTCAATCGAAAGGACGTTAAGTATAGACGGGAACTCACAGGTTGTCAAAGACCAGAAGATTGAAGCTTGGCAGCCTGAAGAATTGACCAAAGTGGTACCTGAAACAAACCATTTGCTAACAAACGATGGCCCAGGATCGTATCGGAGTCTAGGCGGGAAAAACGACGATGTAGGGAGCGGTGCTGGAAGTTGGTCGAAATTGGCCGGATTGGGTCGTGCCGCAAGGCGCCAATTAGCGGCAGTTCTTGACGAATTTTGGGGCCAATTGTTTGATTTCCACGGTGAACCAACACAAGAAGCAAAGGCAAGGAAACTCGACAAGCTGCTTGGAATTGATTCTAAGGTAAACCCGAAGGCATCAAAGGTGGACAACCAAAGTTTATACGATTCTTCAAGGCAGCAGAGTGTGCAAACTGGTATCGACTCAACTTATGCGGTTCACCGTAACCCGTCCGCATTGTTGTCGAGCCAAATGCAACTACTAGATGCATATGCGCAACGTTCGAACCTCAATGTGATGGACCCAAGTGAGAAACGCTACCATAGCTTGCGTCTTCAATCGTCTTCTGGTGGTCTACGAATCCCGCAAGCATCTGGTGCATATGATGACCAGCCAGCCACGGTTCATGGGTATCAGATCAAGTCATATATGAACCAAATGGAGTCATTAACTCCTAAATCCCCATCACTTGGTTCATCAAACTACAAAGCTCCTTATCCTTTAACGAAAGCTGCGCAAAATGGGACGAGCCCGGCAAAGCCACCGGGGTTTCCGGATCCTGTTGTGTCTAGGAACAGCTCAATGCAACCCGAAAGAACACACCATAATCATCCTGCTGAAGCTATGCATAGCACCGTTAACGAGAAGAAGTACTACAGTATGCCTGATATTTCCGGGCTCTCACTTCCTCATCGTGACGGAACTCTAGGCCGGAAAATGCACGGGCTATCGATGTATTCGGGCCCTTCATATAGATCCGGGACTCCTTCCGGCTATGCTGGTTCATACCAGCTGAGTTCAGGATCAGACACATGGTCCATTTGGTCCAGACAACCATTCGAACAGTTTGGTGTGGCCGAAAAGGCGAATAACAACAGTAGGTTGAGTTTAAGCACACAAGAAACTGGTTCTGGGGTTGATTTAGAAGCAAATCTTCTCAAATCCTTAAGACTTTGTATTGTGAAGCTTTTGAAGCTTGAAGGATCAGATTGGCTGTTTCAACAGAACAGCGGGCTCGACGAGGACCTCGTCGACCGTGTAGCCGCTAGGGAACGGTTTCTTTACGAAGTCGAGAGCAAGGAGATGAACGGGGCGGCTCATGCCGGTGATTCTGGAATGAAAATCGATCTCGTAACCTCGATTCCCAATTGTGGGGAAGGTTGTGTTTGGAGGGCTGATCTGATAACGAGCTTCGGCGTGTGGTGCATACACCGGGTTCTCGAGCTTTCGCTCATGGAAAGCCGGCCGGAGCTTTGGGGGAAATACACTTATGTTCTTAATCGTCTTCAGGTAGCGCCTTTGATGATGGTGAAACATGATATCGTGTTAGAGTGTTTTGAGTGATTATTGTTTTTGTTTCAGGGGATAATCGAGCTAGCATTCTCTAAACCACGGGCGGCAATGAACCCGTGTTTCTGTCTTCAACTTCCGAGTTCATACCACCAGCGGAGGGTGTCTCCGCCTAAAGCAGCTGCCACGTGTCTGCCGCCACCGGCAAAACAGAGCAGAGGGAAATGCACGACGGCTGCGAGCCTGTTGGACATAGTGAAGGATGTGGAGATTGCAATCTCTTGTAGGAAAGGTCGAACAGGCACGGCGGCTGGTGACGTGGCGTTCCCCAAAGGGAAGGAGAACCTGGCCTCCGTTCTCAAGCGCTACAAGCGGCGGTTGTCGAACAAGCCAGCTGTCACTCCAGATGGATTAAGTGGGCCCCACAAGTCTTCTTCCTTGTCGGCATCGTATGGATCGTAATCGACCCATATGATGCCAGTTTTAGAAAAGACGACGACTTTTCTTGGTCTTTTAAAAATCAGGTAGATCTCCTCCCTCGATACACGTCGTCGTCGTTATATGATCTGTAAATGTTTTTACGTTGACGACAGGACAGAACAGAACGATCTACGACGAATTGATGGTTGATTTTCTTTCTTCGATTTGATCTTGTTTATGAGAAATGCCGATAAAAAAACAAAAGTAAGGTATCATTGTCTTTATAGCCATGATGATTCCATAGTTTTAGGGAAAGCTTGGTGAAAATGATGATTTTGAGGTATTTGTTTGTTGTATGCGATTTGAATTTTGATCCAAAGATGATGCCATTTTAAGGGTTGTGCCAAATACGCTCTCATCTTCCCACTTCCCACTTCCCAACCTAACACTAATAAGTAACCCTTTTCTTTTCTTTTGTTGTGTTGTGTTGATGGGATTTGGAATCGGGTTTTTTTAATTCCATGTTTGATTTAAATAGAAGTTCGGAGTTGAAATCCCACATTGGATTTACAAATCCTACGAGACGGTTGTTATTTCATGGGATCTGTTTTGGAAGGACCAAATCCAATTAATAAAAGATAAATTAATCATTTATTTTTATAAAATGAATAAAATTCAATTCTATTTCAAATTAAACATACCAAAAACACGAAAATTTCTAAATCCATCAAACCAAAAGCCTCTTAGGGGGATTATTCGGTTGGTTTCCATTTTTTGTTTACTTCATAGATGGCAATGGCAATGGCAATGGCATTGATTGAATCATGTCAATTTCTGTAATTGATGGGTTTGATCATTTATTGGCAGCATAAATAAATTATTGAATTTCATTTCATTTCTTGACAAATGTAAAGCATTCCATAATTTGATTTTAAAAAGACAAAAATAACATTTGAATCCAATTCAACAAGCATCGTCACCATCAATTAATATTATCATCAACATCATATCATAATTATAATTTAAGAAAGAAAGAAAATATAAAAATGTAATAAAAGACGTTTTGATCGTTTATTATGATTTCATTCTAATTCTAAAGTTACATTTTTTCAACCAAACATGCAGATTCCAATTTCTATTGAAAGTGTGATTAAATTATTAACTTGTATTCCTAATTGAAATTCTACCTTTTTAGCCGATTATTACAATTATGAGACTTTGATTAAATGAAATACTACCTATTTAAGGAATTGATATGTCCGTATTTCTTTTCTTTGTTTAAAAGGAAAAGGAAAAGGAAAAGGAAAAGGAAAAGGAAAAAGAAAAAGAAAACGCGTAACTGCACCGCTCGGAAAGGCGAAGGCGTCACTCTCACTCTCACTCTCACTCCAGTCCAGAAGCATCTTTTCTTCGCAATCACCCCACTCATCTCTCTCGCTCCGACTTCTGGACAATCTCCAAGGTACACTTTTCCTTCTTTTCATTTTCTCTGTAAATTGCTTCTTTTCTCTTCTCGTTAGGTTTTTTTGTTGAGATGCTAAGATAAGCAGGAATTGAATCAAATTGAGTTCAATATATGGAGTTTCAGATCAAAGCTAATTCATTGATTACCCAAATAATAAGTTGAAGAATAGATTTAGACTTCTTCAATTCGTTCCCTATAGCTCTATTCTATTCATTCATAATTTGCAATATACAGGTGTTTACAATTTAAATTGTCTGAGGCCTTGCAAATCTGAGTAGATCAAGGGTGAAATTTTGTGACTCAGATTTAGGTTCACCGAGTTATAAATTAGTTGATGTTTGCGATTAGCCTTTTCGTTAGTGTGCTTCTTGTGTGTTGTCCATTTTTTCCTTTGAAAGACTTGGAGGAAGAAGGGGAGTCTTTGCTTATTCACATGTTGGATTTGAACTTATGATCTTTAGGTTATTAGTTATACATCCATCACTTGAACAAACTCAAGCTTACCACTCACCCCACTTTTTGAGGCCTAATTGTCAGGGGAAGAGTGTGTTCTAAACTCTTATACCATCACAAGTTGCAAAGTGATTATAATATGTAATGTTACAACACAACTACATATACATAATCTGTTAACTAATCGTAATAAGGTGTTGATCATCTGATTGCAGGCCACAGGCAACAAATTAACGATCTGATGGGGTATATCATTGTGATTTCCTTGCCTGTAATACTATTGTTCTTGATCATCGCGATTGGATGCTACCTTTTTGGAAAAAACCGTGGTCGTAGCGAAGCAACAACAACTCAGTATTATGGACCTCCCGCACCACCATATGGAGTGCAGCCTCAAGCCACTCCCATTAATAATAAATAGGTAAATGTATAGTGTTTACAACATACATACATACATACATACATACATACATCATACATGTTCTCTTATATTTGATAATTATCGTATACCCTGTACAAGTGAATGGTGATAATTTGTTTATAACCCATGGGATTTGTAAACATTTTGTGTTCTAATTATATAAAGTTTGATCAATAAGCCTTCGGTAGAAGGTCTCTGCTCAATTAGATCTGATTCATTTATTTTATTCTCATGTATCTGATTTTTTTTTAATTAACCTGGATATCCAACCCGCTATGCGAGCCGGTTAATCCCAGGACGACCATCTGCTTTGCAGATAACCCGGAGTCACCGCATTTAAACCTCCGTTGCCACAAGGGGGGTTTTGTTCCTCCTTGGATTTGAACTTGGGACCTCTGGTACTTTTGACCTTTGGAGCCAAACTCAAATCAAACAGGCACCATCCTTGTGGTTGTCATGTATCTGAATTGGAACAGTGAGTTAACGTTCTAATTAATGTTAGTTTCAGTTTCTTTTTTGAAGTTTAAAATTTTGATTTTTTACAATAAAGTGTTCTGAAAGTTAACTTTTATAAAAATAAAAACCTGAAATACTTCCATTGTTATAAAAAAAAAAAGATAATATTAAATCACATAGGTGATGAATGACACAATTTAGGTTTGTAGAAGGATCGACAAACATCTAAATTCTTTGGGGTTGAGAATTATGTTTAGTAAAACTCAGGGAAATAAAAGTTAAAAAGTTTTAAAAATTGATAGATACAAACTTGATTAATAATGAAGAAATTAAATCCTATTTATGACCTAAACTATGAATAGAAGATTAGTATCTAGTAATTATAATTAAACTAGGAACATTAAAAGATAATTAAAATAAAAAGGAAAGGATAATACTTTGTATGCATGGGACGATGATATGGATGCCTAAGGATTCATGCATGGATAGGGAAACACATATGGAACATGGATCGGTGGTGAGTGATGAGGAGTCATGGATGCTGAAGCATGTGATGCATGCTATCCGCAGGAAAGTATAAAGGCAGCGACCAAAACAGTGGGATATGTGGGTGCGGTCGCATGCTAGTCGCCTGAGCGGGAAAGAATACAAGACAAGGCGACTTGGATGTGGGTTGAGTCGCATGGCACCCGCATTGAGTTCTATTTTCCTTGTTTGATGCCAACTTCCGGGCTTTCTTCGAGCTCGTTCCCTAGGATCGAAGAAGAGCCTCGTTAAGTCTCGAATTCTCTCTGTATCAATAACCACCTCTGCAAGTTCCATTTACAATTTGTGTTTTTTCCCTTTTAGCACCTTCGCAAGTCACGGAAGTGGCACCATGTAAAGGTAGTGATATTTTGGTGAGAATGGAAGAGAATTAACGAAGAGATTAGATGAATTGTTTTGTAGGAATTGCTATTTCGTTCAATTTACCAAATAGAAGACCGGGAGAAGTTAAAAGGACGAATAATGCATAAACTAGGAATAGGTCCACGATGATGTTTCAAACCGTAATACGATTGGATAAAAAGATTTTTTTTTTTTCTATTAATGTTGATTTTTTTTGTTGGTACGCATTTTTTGATGACTATATATCAACAATAAAATAAATTTCAAATTAATATAAAATAATGATTGTTATAACTTTGGAATGATGATGCATACCAGCAATAAGAAAATTGAGCTATCATGAAGATGATTCTTAGGGGACGTTTGGTCGAATAATGGAATTCGAAGGAATTGGAATTTATCAAATGAATTTGACTTTGAAAGAATTTGATGGAATTTGACCATGTCTTTTGATTGCGTTTGGTTGGATGAAATTCTTAACGGAATTGGAATTTTATTGTTTCTTTCACGGAATTCAACGAGAAAATTACAGACAAAAAAAAAACCGAAACCGATAGTAAAACAGAAACTTTCGGACAGGGTTCGGGGACATCTTATCGGGGACGGAGGCAGGGATCGGGGACAAATTCGGGGATTTTAACGGGGACGGGGGCGGGGAAGGTGATCATCGGCCCAGCCCGGCCCAGCCTGATTTGTGTATATATATTAATTTTAATTTATGTACGTATATATATAATATCATTAAAAGAAAATAATTACATTAAAATTTAAAAAACTTTTATTCACTTTACTTAAACAACCCAAATAAGGCTCACGAAAAAGTTTAGTTTATTTGTCTAATTGTAAAATTGTGATTTTAGTTGTATGGTGTTTGAAGTTCTGTTTAACTTTATATTGTAATCTAATACATTGTTTGTAATTGGTTCAATTATTTTGAGACATTTAAACTTGTATCTTTAAAAAAATTGTAATTTAATTTTAATTGTGAAAATTAACGTATTGTAATTTTTTTATATCTGTTTCGGGTTTCGGTTACAACCAAGTGACCAACAGTGAAAGGGAAAAAGAGGATTTTTACCTTAACGGGTTTCCCCCGATGGGGATCCCCAATAAGATCCCTGACGGGGATCGAGGTAGTCACGGGGACGGTTTTAGTTATCGGTTTATGGGATAGGGATACCAATAACCGGCCCGTTGCCATTCTTAGTTTTAAACGAGATCGAGCATAGTAGAACAGAGCAAATCGAGATACAGCGTCGATGAATGGATGAGGGCTAAGGAATTTGTCGGATTGGAATTTGAAATCCGTGGTATATACGGTGGAATTGTGAAATCAATGAATTAAGGAATTTGTTGGAATTGGAAGGATTCCTTCACATCTATTATGTGAACCAAACATGACATATGGAATTTGGTCAAAGATTTGGATATTTCAATTCCTTCCAATTCCATGAACCAAACAACCCCTTATAGTTTGAAATTTTCTACAAAAAAAGACTCATGCTTCAAACGGAAAATCCCAATTATAAAAAAGCAAATTACAAGGTTAAAGAAGTCATGAATGATGGTGATCTTTGTGTTATCAACTAATTGGTGTAATTGTGATTTAGTTGAGATCGATTAAAGTAATAAGGCAAACATAAATTAGAAGACGTGAAGTGCACACTCATAAATGTTGCCCATATCACCTTAGATCACCATCAAAGGAGCACCCCGAGGTTAACAAATTCCATGAAGAGTTGTATTTGAGAGTTTTTGGTCTTCGGGTTGGCCTTGACTAATTTCAGAAGGATAGAATCATAGAAACACCCTTGCATTACTCTCGAGCTTAGTGAAATTTCACTAAGTACAAGTCTGAGGTAGTGCAATCAAATATTTGATCCTTCTTATCAAACTTCTAATATATCGCTGGAATACCAAGTCTAGATCAGAGTTATAGCAACCGGAAATCTGAATAATTGGAACCAAAGATTTGGCCCATTCAATCAGATTTCTTAGAACAAATTTGACAAAGTCTCGTATGAGTCAGACTTCCAGTACTTGGAATCAGAGTTCGACTACTTGGATTTGGACTTCCAATACATGGATCAGAATCGCTACTCGGAACCAGATATTCGGATGTTACCTCTGATTCTAATCTAACTGCTCCCAAATATTATCCAGTAACGGTTATAACTACTATACAATTATATCTTAAACGTTTTAACCACTCTTCTTCTTAAAAATTAAATTAAATTAATAAATTGGTATAAACAACCTCTGCAAGAATCTAAAAGTGTTCAGAACAATCATAATTACCAACTTTTATAACCTAAATCTTTTTCTTTAAACTATATATAAAAAAATCACACAAAATGCCAATATAATTCTGAACTTAGTATTCAGCAAAATCAAATGTTTAAATTTCCCACAAGAAACAGAACTAAATTTCTTGTAAAAAACATAAACAAATTTCATTGTAAAAAACAGAAACTATTAAATCATACTTAGACATTTCTTGAAGACACAAAAACACATTTCTGATCATGTAGAGCAAGTCTGCAATTGAAACAAAATGAAGAAAACAGACAATATTTAGATAAAAATTTGAAGCAAGAACAGATTACCATCAACAAGAAATCCAAATTGCTGGTATGGACAATCATCATTCATATCCACCATCAAGTGCCAAAAAATTTAATCAAAAGTGTACCTTGTGAAGGCCAGATATTCCGGTTATTGTTACTAGAGATTAACTCCACAACTTTATACGACCACAAGAGGATAAAACACTTATCGGGACAGCCAGAACTTGGGGCCCATCAGTTCTCGATCAGCAACAAAACCTTGCTTAGCCAGTTTCTGAATGCGTGAAGAGAATTCTTCAGCCTGGTTAAAATTAGGACAAGACAAGATCAGCATTGTAGATTGTCTTTTGCATAAAGCAGATTGATGGTAATGAACTGCAGCTTCTTAATGAAAGAAAGACGAGTCTTTACCTTTTCATCGATCCACATTAATGAACTAAGTTGGTTGTTAAGGATGCGCACTACAACATCTAGTGGAGTCATGCCATCAGTTACTTCGAGTTCTCCGGCCTACAACATCAACATCAACCCACATGAATATCTTGACACACAAATCCATTACAAACTTTGAGGAGTTTAGAGGTTCGATTTGCCATTCTAACTTTCAGTTCTCTATTTGATTGTAAATTATCATGACTTTCAACCCAAAAAAGGAAGAAAAACTCCTGTGTTAGGCTTAAAAGGTCCTCCATTTCCTATTTGTTTGTTTAAGTCCATATGTTTAGACATAGCCCAGCTATTTCCTATTTCCTATTTCCATAAGTGTAGCAACTGTAGACGAAGATCATGGGAAGGGGGAAGTTGAGTCTCCTAAAGACTTGGTCCCAGTGCTCCAGCAACAGTAGGATGTATAATGAACTGAACAAAGGAATTGGAAGAAAAAAAGAGGGAGGAAGGGGAGGTTATCAATTATTGTTGTTTGATTCTCAACCTGAGAGGATTATCTTTGAATGTGTAATTACTCTAATTGGGATCTCAAAATAAATGCACCATTCTCTTTCTAGTCCAAGATATAAAATATTATTGATTTTTGTTCCCCTATTTTGCCATTATTGAAGGGTATATTAGATATTTGACAAAAAGTCAAAGCACCTTACATTAAACCATGTCTCATTCAAGCATTGTATTTATTATTAGGAAGTAGACCAAATTGCAAGAAAAATTGGCCAAAACAACTTTTTGGGAGAGAGAAGGATCAAAATTCACCTGATTGGCGTTAAGAGTCTGAATAACAGATTTTATTTGTTCCGTCATCTGGTCCATTTCTCTTTCAATGAATTCAGCCTGCTCATACCTGAAATTTAGAAAGAAAATTATGATATTCAGTAGTCAGTTCAGCTTTCTGAAAAATACATGCCCTAGTAGGACAAGATTAAAATATCATTTCTTATAAAATATCCCCACTGACCAAATACTAAGAGGTAACATAACAATTATGTTGGTTGAGGCACATGTCCGTGATCTGATGATCTCTAGTTCATATTAATGGTTACACATGTGAGAACAGGCTAATCTACATCAAATAAAAACGATTGGTATGTCACTCGGGGATGAATAAGGTAAACTGAAAAACAGTGTTCTTGGCCATACATCAACTGTTGGGGAAGAATTAGGTTACCTGCGACTTGTCAGCTGGTTTATGAGTGATTGAACTATACATTGAACTTTATGATTGCTAATATAGATAACTTGGGAATACACCCTAAACCTTAACCTTATGGCATCAGAGCTTCAATCGATCTTCGCGTCCTGCCAGTTCACTAAGTAGACTCACTCTACCCAGGGGTAATAAAGGCGCTACTTATGCAACAAGGAATTTCGCTACCTTATGACAGTTAGAGTTACTGCCACCACTACATAGTTTACATGAGGGCTCTTTTGGAGAGTGATACAGGGGGTCCACATATTCTCACAACCTCTGTGAACCCTTTTAAACCATGTTGCAAATCAAATCAACTACCTAGGGTGTGTTTGGTTCGTAGAACGATTTCTAAAAAATAGGAATCTAGAAGGAATTGGAATGGAATGTTATCAGGTTTGACCAAGTGTTTGTTTGGTTTGCAACAGAATTGGAATGGAATGATGAAAAAAAGACAAAATACCATTTCTTTGAAGCAGTAAATCATATACAAAAATATGTCAAATTAGTAATATGAGGCAATAATATGATGTAGAAACAGTAAGAAAATCGGAATAGAAATCGGAAGCAGAAATCGAAGTATAAACTCTTTTGGAGAGTGATACGGGGGTTCCACATATTCTCACAACCTCTATGAACCCTTTTTGTTGCAAATCAAATCAACTACCTAGGGGGTGTTTGGTTCGTAGAATGATTTTTGAAGGAATGGAATCTAGTAGGAATTGGATTGGAATGTTATCAGGTCTGACCAAGTGTTTGGTTGGCAGGAATGGAATGTAATCTGTCTAATGAATTGGAATTTGCTGTTTGGTTTGCAACAGAATTGGAATGGAATGATGAAAAAAAGACAAAATACCATTTCTTTGAAGCAGTAAATCATATACATAAATATGTCAAATTAGTAATATGAGGCAATAATATGATGTAGAAACAGTAACAAAATCGAAGCAAAAATTGGAATAGAAATCGGAAGCAAAAATCGAATTATAAACTGTAAGCAGAAATCATAAGCCGGAAGCAGAAATCGGAACAGAAATCGAATGCAGAGATCGAAGTATAAATGTAAACAGAAATGGTGAGCCAAAATATGAAGTAACAGAAATCGAAGCAAAAATGGGAAACAGTAACAAAATCAAAGCATAAAATAGAAATCATACGTTGGAGATGACAGAAATCAAAACAGAAATGTACCTGCAGTTTTTGATCAACGAAGAAGATGAAACAGTCCTTCAAGATGAGAGAAACCAATAGTTCGATAGATTGGAAGCAGTAGATGAGAATAGAAAAAGTGGAATGAGGGTATTTTTGTCATTTATAAAATTTTGGATGGAATGGAATTCAATTCCATCTCTTTTATGAAGGAATGATGAAATCCTTAAATAAGGGAATGTTTGGAATTCAATTCCATTCCATGGGTAACCAAACTTTGGGATGGAATTTGGTAATTGGTAACTGGAATTGACCATTCCACCATTCCAATTCCATCATATTCCGGCGAACCAAACTCCCGCCTAGTATTCAATTGAACCTTGCATTCCAACTTCTACAGTTCAACAATATCAGGATTCAGGGGTCATCCCCATCTGGGTACACCTCTAGAACTCAAATCAAGCCTTGTCAGATCCCCCCGCAACTAACAAGCCTTGGCTACCACAAAGTTTGTCAACACCTCAAATGAATGCTAGGCCTTGGGGCACACCATATGTCGACAGTTCAAATCTCCTCGGGGCTTGGGGTGTGCAGAAAGTCAACCGTTCCAATTAAAACCGACCGACAATGATTTGATATCCAGTTGTAATTGGATCGGATCGAAAATTTCAACATCCAACTTAGATTGGCCGGTTCTTGGATGACAATCTAGAACCGAACCAAACTCACCATCCAACTACCCATCCAATGGACATCCAATTATCATCCAACATCCCATCCATCCACTTATCATCCAACAAACCATCCAATTAATAATTAATAATATATATATATATAACTTAAAACTGAAAATAAAAAGTATTAGTTTTCAAACCCGATCTGATCATCCATTGGATGTTGGATGGATCCAATCCGATTAATATTGGTGGGATCCAATCTGATCCAATGGATATCCAATAGATGGAACCGAACCGATCTGATCATCCATTGGATTGGACTGGATCGGTTAGTTGGGAGAATCCAACATCCAATGGATGATTAGATCGGTTCGATTCCTCTCACATCCATTGGATGTCAACCGATGAACAGGCCTACTCAAGGCTATTGGAAATTTTATTGGTTGTTATATTCAGGGTTCCACGGGATTAAACGAGGTGCGCACAAGTTGGCCCGGACATGCAGGCACCCACTGTTACACAAGAAAAGAACACCTCACATGATTATCCAACTCCGTCCACCAACAACCACCTCTAGAGACACCTCCTTGGGCCTGATGTCAGCTTAACAATTTTATACAACTTTTACAACTTTCGGGTAAAACAAAAAAAACTTGGAAACACTTGAAGGACCATTTGTGAATCCAAACACACATAAGTCTACCTTCCAGCCATCTAGTTATGAAATCTAGTCCATTTATGCTCAGCTTTTTTACTTATGTTCTATAACCCCCATCATCAATCCCCCAGACATGCCAAGTTCAGTCCAGTTTTGTATTCCTCCAGGTAACCAGTTTTATTGTTGCCATCGTCATGTGTTAGACTACAGTGTAAGTCAGCATCAGATATCCATTGTCATATTGTGTTAAGACTGCATTGTTCCTCCAAGTAATGCTATATTGTCCAATCTGTTTCTGAATTTTACAAGGAACCATTCCCACAGAAGGAAGTGTAGGGAGTCATGCAACTTGTTGCGCAAATATCTGCCAGGCACCTCATTGTGAGATATTTGTCAAACATGATGTGCCATGCTTGTTGGATTTATAGTGTCTTAAAGTTAGAGCACATCCATACAAAGCCAAGCATATTTTGTCCAGGTTGCCTGAAAAAGAACATCAGTGTATGCCTAATTGCGAACACCAAGAACAAACCTGCAACGACACATTTTTGACCTGTTGTGGCTCTTCCAACACGTCCATAGTCCATACCTTTGTGGTTGATCCGACTAATGTTTGGGACTGCCTTCTATCAACATACTTAAAGAGAAATTTACCATAGAATGCCTACCAAATTTCTAAAATTTTGTCAGAACTTTTATTGTAGTCTTTACAGGACAAACTAGTAGAGTGACATGGAAGAATAAAGGCCACGCGAATAAAGGGGCTGTTTATCAAACGCTTACCGAGTAAGCTCTTACCGGCAAGAGTCATCACCCTTACTTACCTCATTTGGGTTTCATTCTTGACCATCAAAATGGATCGTTGGTAAGTGCTAACTGGGTAAGAATCTTCTCCCTCACTTACCGGGTAAGATTCTCGGTCCTTGCTATGCCTCTTACAGGGTAAAACTCTTGGTCCTTGCCATGCTCACCCAGTAAGGTAAGTAACACCTGGTAAGCAACAGCCCTAAGACTGTAAAGGAGGCATATGATGCCCTGCTGTTGGTTCCTTTTTCTTTTGACCATTCTTGATTTTCTCAATATTTTCTTTTCAGAAAGTTGTCACTAGTGAATTTAGGAACATTAATATCCATGCTCCAACTTGTAGAGGATGGTTTAGAGACCAATTTAGATTAGATTAGGTGGGATTTGGGCCTAGCCTTTGCTGATCAATAGTTCCACTTGTCCCTTGTTGTACCATAGGTTCAGGTTACTGTTTAGTAATATATAATCACTTGGGAATACACTCTAAACCCTGACACTGTAATAATTACTGCAGTCGCTCACTTGAAAGTTGAAACCACTAGAACAACAACTAAAGTTCCTCATCATCCAATCCTTCTCATGACAAAGATCGGTCATACCAAGAAGAGCATATCACCATCTAATCATATCTATTATGATCATGTTCCAGTAACAGAATATGACCCAGCTAGACCTTAGAAAAAACGAAGCACGTGGCCGACATAATAAAAAGTGAACTTTTTGTTGGGAAGTTATGATGTATTGAACAAAGTAAACTACTCACATTGCATCTCTAGTTGAAGCTGCTTCATCATCAAGAAGTAAACCATGCTCATCTTTGTATATTCGCTCAGCTTCTTCTTCCACACTTTGTAATGACTTGTCAACCTGAGAATTGTGCCAAGTAAATGAGCTACATCAGTATCATGATATTCAAAAATCCAGAAAAGTAGGAAACTGGTTAGAAGAGGTTGATCCATGTTTACAAGGATAAATATAAAACGCATGTCATACAAAGCATCCAGAAACTCTTAAGGGTGAACGTCATAATGACCCCACTGGACTTCTGAAAACAACTAATTACAGGATTACTGAGTAAGCTCATATTTTTATGTAATTTCAAAATTGTTCAACATTGATGATCCAAAAAAGTTTTAAGCATGCTTGAACTAAGAACCTTTGTACAACATGACTCTTCAAGATATTGAAACATGTCGAGGAAGCAATACTTATTGGAACTCTAGTACTGAGCTAAGTATTCCAGATTCAATTTTTAACAATGTCATTATAACAACAATAGCAACTCCATTACTCCACAGAAGTTAACATCTCAAAAGACCACCACAGCAAAGAGGGTCTAGTCATAACCTCCAATTAACATGTACCTTTTTATATTTTCACAAATTACTTTGGTAACCAATTTTAAACAATCAATCCTCCATTACATTACAGCTCCTTGAAAATTCTTACCATGTATGTAGAGTCTAACAACTCCAATTTGTCTTCTGAGAGTACAGTTCAATGCATAGGTCATTTGATTAATGTACAAACGTTTTGTAGGGGACCAACAATATACTGGCCTCGATGCAAATTCTAAAGTGTCTTCTATAGCAATAACGAAGGCTACCATGTCAATTATTTTTTCAAAAAATGATGATTCTAGGTAAGTTTACAACAATGAAAGAGATGAAAGAGATAAAAGATGCTACTAACAAGAACATATACATGAGAGAAGTTACAGCACCTCCTCGTGCTCTTCGCTTCCAGGTAAGCCATATAAAAAAGCAAAATAAGCCAGGGTTTAAATCCAAACTTAAAATTTAAGTTTCAAATTCATGTTCTTAACTTCGATCCACTTACCTATGCTTAAACCAGAGTCATGCCACATCAAATAGGAATACATTTTCTAAAAGATCATGATCCATTTTCAACACCATGCTATTTATTTTTTGTCAATATATGCTACAATGTGCACTGGAATTCCTTGTGCATTTTTCTCGTTTAGGTTATTCCATAAGCAAGATGTATTGTTCATTGAACAGAAGATAAGTGATAAAAAGAAAATGATACAAATTCAAAGCATGCACTAAAGTATTAATAGTAAAACTGAAGTCTCTTTGAAATACCTCCTGTTGATGAGTCTCGATCAGCTCCAGCTGTCGCTCAAGGTTTGATTGGGTCTCAACAACTTTTGCAACTTCTGCCTGTGAAAGGGGCAATTCACATAATAGTGAGGCAGCAACAAAGAAACAAGTTGCCTACAATTTTATATAAAGGAACAGCCAGAGTTCTCTTTCAGCTTCTTATAGCCAAGTGGCAAGATGCCATGTCTTATGACTTGTGAGATAAATAATTCGATGAAAGCCCTATGGTTAAGGCTGGTGATTGATGTTATCCGATGCAAAACCAAGCATATCATCAGTTCACAGGAGGTCAAATGAGCGCATGGAAAAGTTCAGTGAATTAGAGTTATGCTGCTTAAGAACCAAAGAGAATATGGGCACCTCAAGTTTAAGAAGGACATCCCTGTTCTGCAAGATTCTCCTGTCCCACTCAGCTATTGCATTGGCTTGCTTCCTGAACTTTCCAGTTCGCTCCTGGAGCTCCACATTCCACTCCTTGATGATCTTTAAAGAAGCACCAAAAGAAAAGAAAAAAACAGATCATATCAACAACAGAAGAGACCCTGAAATGCTGGGCCCAGAAAGCAACTACATAAGAAACTTTTAGTGTGGTTGGAAAGAAAAAACAAAGAAACCATTAACATGCAAAATGAAGCAACAGCATAACTAAAAAGCCAACTACAGAAAATGTAAGGAACAATTTGAACCAAAATAGGATAAAGAGAGATAATAAGAACTTTTATGAATACCTCCTCAACAGTCTTTCCAGTAATTTCAGATGGTAATTTTGGTGCAGAGGCTACAGCTGTGCTGACACTTGCAGATGTCCTAATGCAAAATCACAAGGGGCCTCAGATCAGATATGAGGTACAACGGACGGGAATCATGGAAACAATAAACTGTAAGACTGAAGATACCAGCCATAATAATGGCAACATAGTTTAACAAGAAATTTTTTACAAATAGTAGATTATACGGCCTGCAGAAAGATCGGAACTGTTTTCTTATTTCTCAAGGATGGATATGAGGTCATTTTAACAATATGGTTAAAAAGAACGTTATCAGCAATATATTTTTCAAAATCATACTTGAACACCAATAAAACAAACTATATTTGACAATTGTACTTTGTAGTACACAAGAAACTCATCGGTTTGATGAACAGAAAGAGCATTATAAGATAATACTGATGACTGACCCACTACTGGAAGATACAAGCAGCGAGGATGATGTTTGAGCAACAGTGGTTATAATAGTTGATGTAGTTGTGGTTGTAGTTGTATTTGAAGCAGGGACACCTGCAAAAAGATTTTAGAAACAAAACAAAGAAGTTAGAAGTGGAGCTGTCTGAAAATCAATAAAAAATTTAAGGGTTTTTTAATAGCAAATAGGATCTTTGGTCTCATCAATTACGAGTGACCAACAGTAATCTGCATAACGATACAGCCAAATCTTCTCAAACACCAAAGACAGGTTAAAATTAATGAAATTTATTTCCTCAAAAATGTGATATAGAAACACAGGAGGTTTATTGAAAATCCAATGAATGAGTGAATATAAGAAATTCGTTGAGAAAATATTATATACAAATCCCACTAGTGTTAGTTAAATGGTATTAGGAAAATTTTGCTTATCTCTTGTTTTCCAGATTTCGAGCATCTGGAATAAATAGCTAATTACAACAGTGTCTTACTGCAATGGGAACCTATGCCCATCCTTAAATGAGTTGTCATACGACAAGAATTTACCTGCTTTCTGCACCTACCATCTAGACTTTAGAAATAGATTAAATTTAAGTTTATGCACTCGAAATAGCTATAATAATTTCGCTGTTCCACAAAAGATAACTTCGGTGATAACTACTTCCAATTTATTTTATACAATTTAGAAAATGTAATATAGTGGATTGATGATGTTTACTTAATGCAGTTAATTTTGAATTTCTAAATCGCGAAAACAGATAAATAACTGTATTGATAACTATTTGGTGTTTATTATAGAAGAAGAAAAAATGCAGAGGGAGAAATATGAGATCAATCTAAATTCTTAACAGAGAAAGGTAAAAAGACATCAACTTGAAAAGGAAAGAACATGAGGGAAGAAATCATACAAGATGGTTGGTATAAGATTGGTGACACATACATATGTCAAGTTGACAAAGAGAAAAGAAATAAAGATGCATTAGTTATGTGCTTCCCCCTTCAGAGCTGGGCTCCTACCCTAATCAAGAACTCACTCTATCCCTTTGTAATGAAGRAATTTCCAATGCCTGGTGGTGTGCAGTTCCCAGTCGAAAGATGAAATTCTTCTTGGGCCATGAAATCCATCATTATAACGAGCAAATCATTGTGCTGCCTTCCGGGGTGTCACTGGAGAGCCGCCCAGGGACTGGACTCCACCAAGAGGTTCTTACTCTCACATCAACTTTGGTCTTAAATCTATAGTTCGTAGTTAAATTAAAATCTAGGGTTTAGTGGGGGGTTTCATATTAGTTCGATATAATTCACACAAAGCTTTCAAGAGCATGTTATGCCACGTAGCTCACCCCCTCCCCCCTCATGTGTTATTACATACTGAGACTTGCTACACCAGGAAATCATCACGCCCATGGCATGCCAATAGTATTATGACTTAAACCACAATCTAAACATAACCATAACACAGAATCATATATCCTAGCTCCTCTCCAAGTAAGCATGTAAACCTTCTAAACACTACTAGATACAACCAACATGACCTTATTAATCATATGACAATATTGTTATATGAATTCACATGCAACAGTTCAAGAACGATATAGAGTACAACCATAACGGATATTATCATCAACTTCAAAACACAAACCAATGAAGATTTACACCGACAAACTCACCAAACAAAGATGAGGCAGCTGTGGATTGCGGTTGTGATGACGGGGTAAGAGCCCCTACAGTTTTCGATGACGTTTGAAACCCCAAAAAAGAACTTGATGTTCCAGTAGATGCAGCAGTAGTAGTGAGGCTTGAGAAACTTGGCACAGATCCAGTAGTTGTTGAAGCCGCAGAACTAGACGAAGATGTTACACCAAATGCAGGGAACGATGGAGTCTTGCCAGCAGAAGTGGAGGCACTAGTGGTTGTAGTTGTAGTTGCTGTAGTAGATGCTGGTACATTCGCAAATGAGAAGCTAGTAGTTGGGCTTTGAGATGAACCAGCAGATAAAACGGTAGTAGAAGGAGCAGAACTGCTACTACTGATAGTGGCTGTGGATTTCCCAAAGGCTGAACTGGTAGAAAACGAACTGAATAAACTTGTACCGGTGCCAGCAGTAGCACCAGAATTGAAGCTGGACCCAAACAAACCAGATCCACTAGAGCCCGTTGCAGCAGCAGAAGTGGAGGCACTGGTGGTAGTCGTTGTAGTTGCTGTAGTAGAAGCTGCTTTTAGATTCGATGACAAACCAGAAGAAGATTGAAGCCCAGACGAGGCTGTTACATTAGCGAAGGAGAAGCTAGGAGTCGGGCTTGCCGATGAACCAGCCGAGAAAATGGAAGCAAAAGGCGCAGAACTGCTACTGCTAGCAGTGGCTGAACTGGTAGAAAATGAACTGAATAAACTTGTAGCAGTGCCACCAGAATTGGAACTGGACCCGAACAAACTAGGACCTGTTGCCACAGAGGAGGAAGCACCGAAACCAGAAAAGGGTGATGGAGCAGCGGAAGACGTTGTGGAGGATGAAGACGATGCAAATCCAAACAAAGGAGTTGATGCAGATGACGAAGGCGCTACAAATGTAGTAGTAGAAGCTCCAGATGAAAAAGACACACCAAATGCAGATGACGAAGGCGCTCCAAATGCAGGAGCCGAAGCTGCAGATGAGCTAAAGAGTGAAGGGAATGTGCTAGGGTTTGAGGAGGATGAGAAGGGCGATGGAGATGAAGATGATGCGAAAGAAAATGGAGATGATGATGATGATGATGATGATGATGGGGTTGAAGAATTTGTGAAGGAGAATCCCGACATTGTTGATGCTTCTCTTTCTCTCTATGTAGAATCCAACTGAATCGAGAATGGGAGACAGGGGAGGGTTTACGGTTAAGGTTCTTGTTTCGCCGCTCTGTAACGAAGTGATCAAACACTCAGTTTGTTGTCTTTGTAGTTGGCATGTTTCATATCTCGGCCTCCTTTTTGATATTGGGAAGCTGCCCTTCTTGTTTAGACGAAAGACACAGACCAGACTAGGGCAGACGATAAAGAGACAGATTAGGGCAGAAATTACACCTGAGATAAGTGAATGGAAGATGAAGAAGCAGATTAGGGCACTAAAGATACCTGAGACGAGGGAAGAAGACGACGGCGAGACGACGATTTTAGGTTTTGAAAATTTCGAAAAGGTTTTGAGGGAATTAAAAAGATAGCCGAACGAATCACAAGTAAACTAGTAAACGGAGTTTAATGTCGTCCCGTTAAATCTCACGTATATTTCGGTGAGATTTTGTAATATCTTTGATTTCGAGGCGTTTGTTGGGAGCCTATGCATGGTCACATGGCTTTAAAGCGAGTGCGGGCGAATATCAAAAGATAAATTTTACTTCTCAAGTGCTGAGGGGCAAGGCTCTTAATAGATGGAATGTCACCAGATCCGTTCTTGGTCCGACCATGTGTAACTCAGCAGATGTTTAAGGGAAAGATCGTAGATGAGTATTGTAAAGATAGTTTTTGACAAATCGAAGATGAATTTCGAGCTCTCAAAAAAGGGAGCATGAACATTGTGGATCACTCTAGTGTGTTTGTGGATAAGTTGAACTTAGTAAATCATCTAACTCCGGATAAGAGGACTAAAATTAAATGCTACCTCAAGGTTGTCAATTGAAATGACCGTCACTTGTGTGGAACACTAAGGTGGCCTCATTGCAAGAAGCTATTGAGGAATCTGAGTTGGTTGACGATGACTTGGCTTAAAAGAAGGAAGAGAGAGCAACTTTGGGTGATGGTAGTGATCGAGAAGGATATTATGAATGAGCAATTGCTCGGGTCTAGTGAGGAGGCTAAGTGTTGTTCCACATGCCAAAGTACCCATCACAACACATGCATTTCTAAGCCCCTGTAGTGTTTTAGGTGTGGAAAGATGGGTCACACGATTCGGGATTGCACCGTTAAGGGGTTGTCATGCTTTACATACCGGGATCCGAGTCACATCAAAAAAAATTGTTCAAGGACCAAGACAGGTCAATGAATGCGGCCATCAAAGGCTCCCAAGCATGTGAGGACGTATCGGCATGTATGTTTTGTTTGTGTTCCTCATTGCTTAAGCTATGAATAAGTGGTTATATTGGACTTTATCTTTTGTAGTATTTGAAAGGTTTGTCGTGTGGCACTTTGTTAAGACCTTGCGATATAGTGGAATTTAGTGACTAGTTTGGGTCTTTGTGAGACTCAAGTGTAAACGCCAAAAATCGTAAGAAAATAATTTTTTCTTTGAAGCGTGACATAAGTTTTGTATATTTTATCGAAATGGTAATTTTGGTCTTTTGGAAGGGTCATAAGACTGTAAATTTAATCTTAATAGCGTGTTTATCTTTTATGTCTTCGAGAAATAAGAGTTCTGTGTGGAGTGCCCCTTCTACCCCCTTTGGTTCATAGATGTGTAGGGTCATCAAAGTGAGCTACTATTTTCTAAATCTGGAGGTGTTACAGATTTGAAACAGTGACCTTCTTAGATTTTGCCTCTATTAGTAATCTGGTTACCGTTAGACTAATGACCACTTAGTTAATAAGCTCATTGTTAATTGATAAATATGTTAATAAACTATCCATGTTTGATAAATAAATAAATAAAACTCAATGATCAATTTAAATGGCAATGAATTAAAATTGATGGGTTGTTTGATGTTTTTCTATATCTTCAATAACGCAAATTGCATGAGAAGATAATGTACTTTGTCTTGATTTATATATTAGGTAACATACCTTTAAAACTTTCATTTTGGTACGGAATATTTGAAGTTTCAAATATTTAAGTACATATGTAGTCGGTTTAAACATATTAATCAGTTATCATGCTGTTGTGACAAGTGATATGACATCCATGTCAACATTATTTGCTGACGTGAATAATCATATGGATTTTTTTTATCTTAAATTAGTTATAGGTTTATTTTATTAGAATTTATACATTATTATTATCTGTGAATTATATATATTCCTAAAAGTAAAATACAGTATGGGTTCCTATCTTCTTCCGATAAAACCTCCTCTGCCATCTAATTAGACGAAGAAAAAACTCTTTATTTCCATATTTCTCCGATAAAATCTTCCCCGCCATCTAATTAATCCATCATCTCCATTTTGGCCAATGATTAAGCTTTTGCCGAAGAAAAACTATAAATGGAAAGTAAACAGGTTTAAAAGATCACTACATATAATACTAGTAACTTACACATGCATCATGTTGCACATGTCATTTCGGTTATGAAACTGACAACCCGAAAAGACAATGTTGTTTCAAATTTTCTTCTATTCTCTGTCCCTTTCGATGCTAATTTTATAGTTCGTTGTGATTTTAAATCATAAATCTGATTATTTATAAATTCAAAGTTAAAATGTTCCATTGGTTAAAGATTTTGAAATAATATTTTTAACCCCAAAACATTTGTTATTCTTGCATTTTAAAGATCAACTTATTAATTAATTAGTGGTTTGTAGTTTCTACAACTTGTAATTGAAAGATAAATGCAAAAGTTATGTCTAAATAAAAATATGATAAGAATACTCAAAAAAACCATATATGTTGTGGTAAGGTGGTCGCCCTGGGATTAGTCGGCTTGCATAGCGGGTTGCATATCCAGATTAATAAAAAAAAATCATTGAATACCGAAATATTTCAAAAAGATAGACTAGTAATAAAACGAAACAAAACAATTGGACTCTAATGTTTCATATAAGAACTATTTATGAAATCAAGTCTGTTTATTCTAATGGAAAGCAATATGGAACATTAACTTGGAAAAAATGTGGCTTCGTATTAATAAGAGGATTTACCGCATAGATCACAAACATGTTCTTCAATAAAAAAATCCTTTAATAATCAAATATAAGAACGATAATAAATATAAACCAATGCTCTAAAAGGCTCAACACAGCAGCTGTCGTGACACGCCGTGTCTGAAGGCTCAAGTATGACACTATGTTAAAACTTGTGGCATGCGTGGGTCAATACGCAATTTTGTAACGTGGCATTTGATTTTTCTTACGTATTAGTGGAAAATATATATAAAGATGTATCTTGATTTCTTAGACATTGTAAGGTTCTTATATGCGATAGATGTCTGCAAATAGCCCGAAAACGTATGTTGCTAATAATTATACTATGAACAATTAATCAAAAAAATTCAAACAAACATATACTGTTATGAGTTTATTGTCACTTTTTCTAACTATATTATTCATAAAAAATTAATTATGACTAATATGAATAAATACTAAATTCAGTTATTAACTAATTTTAATTATACATCAATATTATTTTATTTTATAATTATGAGAGTAAATTACAATCTTGGTCCCTGGGTTTATGTGCTTTAACACTCTGGGTTCTTATTTCGAATATCTACAGGTTACATCCTTGTGGCTTGCATTTTATAATACATTTGATCCCTTGATTTAACTCTTTTAAAAAATATTCGTTAACTCACGGGTACTTTTGTCTTATTTTTTCACATTATGGCTCCACATGTTATTCTTTATTCTCCAGTGAGTTATACCTCCCTTCTTTTCCGGTAAGCTTTAAGAACACAAGAACGCAAGAGGATATAAAACATTTAACATAATCAAACAATTTTGTATATATTCATAAAAGGATTAAACATAATCAATAACACAAGTTTCACAAACATTAACATAATCAAACAATTTTGTATATATTTATAAAAAATATATAATACAGACCCAATGTCTAATTCAATCACACAAACAAACCCTAAAATAAATATCCTAACTAAATCCTAAATCATCAAACCTTGAATCAAAACGTCCCTTTGATGGTGACTAGACACTTGAATCAAACAGTTTAATCAAATGACAAACTCACCAATCTCCATCTCGATTATTGAAGTCTTCTTGAATCAAATCGTCTAGTGATGGTGGAAAAACTCCTTCAATCATTTGATCTCCAAAAGCTTTTGACTCTTTATCCTTGCTAACGAGAAACTGCAAGACGGAATGAGGAAGAGAAGATCCAGAAAAAACCAACTAGATTAAGGAGGAGCAAATCTGGAAGAAACCAACCATAGGCACGAGAAAAGGTGGAAACTATCCTTGTTGTGTATGAGAAGAGCAAATCGAGAAGGTGGAAATTGTACCTGTTATGTCAAGCCTTATTGTGTACGAGAAGAGCAAATCGAGAGGAGGGTGGACCATCCCTTTTGTGTACGAGAAAGACAGATCAAGAGTACGAGATCTAGAGGAGCAATTTGAGCTCTTAAGGGCCGATGTGGAGAAGAATTCGTTCTTGTGTTTGGAGTTTGGTTGAAGAAATCGTCCTTGTGTTTGAAGTTTCTCTAGAGAAATCGTCCTTGGAATTTTACCGAAGAAGAATCCTTCCTATCATTAAGTTTCACAGGAAAAATCATTCCTTTGTTGCTAGAGAAGGGATAGGCCCTATGTTTGTCGGACAAGGTTGTATTCGCCAGAGATGGGGTCAGGAAGTCAATGCTAAAAAGACTAAAATACCCATGTGACACACTTAACATAACTTTTTGGATGGAGTTTGATTTAGGAACCCAATGTATTATAAAATGTGAACCACAAGGATGTGATTCATAGATACTTCAAAATAGGGACCCAGAGTGTTAAAACACATGGACCAAAAATGTAATTTACTCTAATTATTAATCATATAAATTATTTTATATTATTGTTATTTTAAATTGTTAATCAATATAATTAGTTATCAAAAAGCAAATATAACAGTTATAAAAATAAAAATACTATATACTTTGTTTCATATATAATAAAATTTGTAGTAAAGGATTTTATTCAGGATCCCGATCAATGCAATAGGATGTGTCTGTTTATCTATCTCCTTTACTACCTACCCTTACCTGTCCGGCGTCCGCCTTGAATTACAATGCATGTGCATACCTTTTCCAGCCTGTTGTAGTCAGCCTCGCGATGTGCCTGACTTAATTATAATATACGAGGTTGATTAATTTTATTTTTATTCATATTACATATAATGGTTATTTAAAATCATAAATTAATGTAGATTCTTTTTTCAAAAATTTGTCTTAAAAAATCCAAAATTTATGATATATAATAATAATAATAATAATAATAATAATCAATTCGAAATTCTTTTAATTAACTTAATTAACATATTATTTTATTAA